GCGGGAGAAAGATGAGGCTTTCTACTCCCGTAAAGATTTACACCCTCGGAAACCCTGCACAGGGTCACTATGTGTCGCAACCGACTCGATGGCACTTAACAACAACAACATCAGTATATTCATTTAGCAAAAGGTAGGTCTTTACAGAGATGAAACCTATCTAAGAGAATGCTGTCAAGATAGTTAGTGAGTAAAAGTGGATATTGTCAGGCGTTAACCTCCTCCTTAACCAGCTGTTGATGCCATCTTGATTCTTAAATTAAAAAAGATAAAGTAGAAAACTTTTCCTGCAACAAGTATTTTTATAATGGTGGTGGTAGTTATATGCCATGGAATCGGAACCAACTCATAGCGACCCTGGACAGGGTTTCTGAGGCTGTAAATCTTTACAGAAGCAGAAAGCCTCATTTTTCTCCTACGGAACAGCTGGTAGTTTCAAACTGCTGACCTTGCGGTTTGCAGCCTGATTCGTAACCAGTACGCTACCAGAGCTCCTTATTTTTTTTTATTATAACATGTATTTATATATTATCATCTAAAGTACTAGTTGGAATCCTGGCATGGAGCTGTAGGATAAGCACTGTACTGTTAACCTCAAGGTTGGTGCTTCAATCCCACCAGCCGCTCCTCAGAAACCCCATACAAGGTTGCTATGAGTCAGAAGCGATTCGATGGCATCTAATAGCAACCAAGTACCAGTCAGTGTGCTGTGCACTAGGGGAACACAGGGATAGGCCTAGTCGCTGACTTCAGGGAACTTATACTCAAGTGGAAAAGGTTGCTGTTGGTGGCGGTTGCCCTAGAATTGACTCTGACTCATGAAGACCCCAGGTGTGCAGAGTGTAACTACACCACAGGACTTGCCAGGTTGTGGCCTTTTAGAGGCAGATTGCCAGGGCTATCTTCCTAGGGGCCTCTGGATGGGTTTGAACTGCCTCACCATTTCCACCACCCAGAGTTTTCACCCTTTAAAAAATTCTCCTGCCCATCAAGCTATGCTAAATGCTTTCCATTCATTACCACAACACCCCTGTGTGCCGTATAGTATTATGCCTGTTTCCAGAAAGATGAGGGAAGCTTTGAAAGATAAGGATTTGCCTAGAGAAATAAGCTAATGACAGGTATGGGATCTGAACCCAGATTTGTTAAGACTCCAAAACAGATGCTTTTAACCCCCACACAAACAAAACAAAACCACTACAGTCACACAAAATTACTCTTCCTATATGTAAAAGTTTATATAAAGCAGAACCAGCAATCCTAAAACTGTTGCTTACCTGTTATCTTGCAGCCATAGACTTCAAATCTCATAGATATACCAGTTTCCCAAGTCACAGGCTTAATTCGGACAAATCGAGTTATCAGTGGTTTGGGGAAAACCCCAAACACAACATCTGTGGGGTTAGTGTTTCCTTGAAAGATCTGTATGGACAAAGAAAAGGCCCTTCAAATAACAGAATGTTTAGATTTAAGATCCAAAAAAAATGTAAAGTTTTTTCATAACTGCTTGCAAAAATATTTACACCTTCAACATTATCTGTCAAGGTTGAGGTGACATTAATAACTTGCCATGTTACTTTTTCAAATAATGGCAATCAGAAAGAATCCTATCTAAGAGAATGCTTTCCAAAGCATCTGTTCAATTTCTTAAGAGGCTAGAGCAACTGGGATATTTAAAGAACTACTACAAGGAAAACATTTTTTAAGGATACAAACCATTAACCTATAATGTGGGGCATTATTCATTTTATCGTAAGGACCTAAAGAATATTATAGACATTCCATGGGAATGTTCACAATTTCATTTTCTCAGGGAACTCCAGATGGAATGCTCCTTTTGAGTTCAGCATAGGGTCTGGCTTTTTGAAATTCTAGGCTATGTTCCCAGCTATTGTACTAGATCCAATAGCCTCTTCCCTTTTGTATCCATTTCTTGATGAGAGATCTTACTCCTGACATTAATGAACGAGCTTAATCTTTTTTTTATTATTATTATTGGTAAAATGATGTTTTCC